TTTGTGTCTAAATCGTCGTACACGGAGGTTCTGAAGGGGAAGAGAAGGGGGAGGATGGTGTTCGGTGGTGGGTTCGATGATGATGATGATGCTCATGGAGGTTCAACAAGAAAAATAGATAGATACGTACCAAAAGCAAGCTCTTGATGTGTGTTTCGTTCATCTCATAGGGGGTTAGATTAGAGGCGGCAGTCCCCATTCTTCTGCTTCGTTTTTCCGGTGAGCCAATGAAGAAAATAGGATTGGGGTTTTTAGCGGCTGTGAGGGGGTGTTTGGGTGGAGCCTCTTCGACAGGAAGAGTGGTGGAGAACGAGGGAGGCTGTTGCCTCTTCTTGACCAGAAATACAACCTCATGTGGAGGTTTCTTCAACCATGAGAGAGAGAGAGTGTGTGGGGCCCTTTAATTAAATAATTATAGTTTTTTTTCTTTTTTTAAATAGAGAAAACCTCATAAATGGTCCCTATGTATTGAAATGACAAAAATGCCCCTCACTTAACGGTAAAAAGCTGACGGAGTTAGGCGGAAAGACCATTTATTAAAAGTTTTGAAACCACAGGGACCATCTGTGAGGTTTTTTGAACTTAGGGACTAAACTTGATATTTTCGAAAACCACAGGGACCATTTTTGAAGTTTTGTCTTAAACAAATAAACAATCTTTCAAAAGAACTTCTCTAATGCTTATCGATTTTTGTCATCGAGATTGACAGACATATGGAAGTGTATATTTTCCACATGTAAAAATACAAAAGGTTTGCACAAATCAACATTTGAAATTTTATTTAATTATATTTTTTAGCACGCAAAATAATATATTCCTTAAAGATAGATAATTTTCAGAGTTAATTTAATTTAATTTTAAACAAAAAACTATTGATAAATTTACAAGTCTGCAAGTGATTATATAAAGCTGAATAACCAATTTTCAATATTTAACATACTGTTAAAATACTAATTAGATGCATTCTCATCATGGATAAAAACACATTTTCGACATTATATCAATGTAGGCAACATACTAATTTTTTATCATTACAGCAGTGTACTTCTTTTACCAATATTAGCAAAATATATCTCATAATAGCAATTACTTGCATTTTCTCACATATAATAGCAACATACTTAAGAGTTTTTTATTTACAATAGCAACATACATTCATTTATTTTGCTACGATGTAAAGTAGATTTTGCTATCATCCGTAAAGAAAAGTAAGCACATTGCAATTAAAAGTAAAAGATAAACTACAATTACGATATTGGTACCAAAGGATCCATTCTCACAAACAACAATCAATGATCATTCACTAGAACAAAAAATAACTCTTTGACAAAATTCATTTCAATAGCCTTAAAAAAAGGTATATCAAAAACAAAAATGCATAAATGAGAAACAAAACACATGAAAGCTTACTCATCTTCCTGACTACGCAGCCTGGCTAACTTGTTGGTGACAACAACATCAAGCTGTGCTGCACGCTCTACAATGTCCTTCCTTTTTCGGGTTGATACATTGTGTGCAATCTCAGCACAATAAGTTCTGAAAATCATCATATTATTAATCATGTAACAATGTTTTTATTTTATATAATGTAAACTTAAAGTGAAGAATTGTACAACTTATGTTTACCTGTTGTGCATCATAAGAACTTCAAGCTCCTTGGCGTTGTGAACAACAAATTTCTTGAAACCATTTGGCAAGTAATGACGGGTTTTCTTGTCTGATCCGTATCCAATATTTGGCATAAGAGTAACACCTTTGAACTTTCTCCTCACACGTGAATCAATACCCTTTGGTCTACGCCAGTTTTCCTGTTAAATTTATGAACACAATTTGAGCAATAAATTAGTTGATTCAATGATATAATGAGAAGATTATAGAGATTGATTGTGTACCTTGACACAGATCTTCCAATCACTGTGTGGCCTCTTGAACTTCTTGACCCTCTTCTTGACGATCTTCTTATCAAGCTTTGGAACCGCCATTGCTTACTATGAACAAGTGATGAACAAACCAGGGTCAATTTTTTCTTGTAGCGTTAAAGAAGCATCAACCAGCTACGAGATCACAAAGACATTAATCAAATCTACAACGGTATTAAGATCTAAAAGAAAATGATGTCATGTACTTCAACAAATTATAAAGCTCGAATTGCTATAGAAATCAATACGAACCAAATATACATACATAAACATATCTTATTACAGTAACATATCTACAAAATCGATTAGAAGACTAAAACATCGATAACTGATATAAAATAAACTGAGTACACCGGTTTAAAACAATTAAAACTTGTTTAAACTGCAACGACAAGTATTAGATTCAATGAATCAACAGAGAACAAGTAACGAAAGTATATATTTTTGAGAAATGCTTCCAATCTGTTACTAGATCTACAAACAGCAAGTAGAGATACAGTATTTCGTTTACAATTAGATGCGATAGGCAATGAAAGCTTGAAACCTGCTAATCGGGACTACACGGCGCAAAAGTTCCCCCTGCAAACAAAGAGCCGTGAAAAGAAGCCAGACCCTAGGGTTTAGATATACGCCCAGAGATGTACCTGTGCCCTTTAGGCTGTGGAATGTATAAACGGGCCGATACTCCAAAGCAGCCCAATCGTATCTATTAGTACAAACGAAAAATTGTCATTTAGAGAGTGTTTGGGATTATTTTTAAGTCCTTTTTGTAAAATAATTTCTTGTAAAAATATTTTTTTTCACTAAAGAGCCCTAACCCTAGCCCTAGGGTTTAAATATTTTGTTTGTTACTAAAGAGCTATGGACTTACTAAATGTGAATGTGTAGTTTATGTGTATTATTTAAAGGTTGAATGTTGATTGTTCTAAAAAAATCATGAAATGCACCAATATTTTCATACAAAATTTTATTCTTCCAAAAATCATAACAAATGTATAAAAATCAACATTGTCACTTGAAATTTTCATTTTTAACATACAAATATTTTCATTACCATCCGATGGAAATTGCACCTTTTATGATATTTCATTTAAAATTTTCAATTAACATTTAAGGGTGTTATTTTGGAGATCGTATAGTTATACTTTCAAGTGAGAAAAAAGTATTTGGTAAGTTTAATTATCCAATCAAAATATGTATGTTAGGATTAGGAAACTTAGAGAGCGTCAGCATGGTCAAACTTCTTAACAGCATTTGATAAGTTTAATTTTTTGGGAAACGGCAAATTTTATTAAAAAACAGATAAAAAAGCACCCACGACTTGCAAGTACCTATCGAGGGGACAAGATAAGCGACAAGGAAAAAGGTTACATAATTATCAAATACAGAAAGGAGAAGATGACCATTCTCATGAACAAGTATCACTTTTACCCCTACATTTAACTCACAAATACATAACTGGTTTAATTTGCTCTACACCATACGAGGGAGTGATGAACACTTGTTTGAATAACCGATCATTACGATATTTCCATAAGTTCCAAAAGAGACCGTAACAGATAGTATGGAGGCGGTATTTCATTTTAGAATTTATCCCCCAATTTGCAGCAAATCCAAGCAAGTCACCAATGTTATTGAACGAATGATTTTGTAAGCCACACCAATTGAAGATTTTATCCCTTATTGCTTTAGCAAATGGACACTTCACCAAAATGTGACCAACATTTTCTTCCTCGTTGATGCAAGCACCACAAATAGTAGTTTGGGTGTCAATTCCTCTTGTTCTAAGACCCACCATCGAAGCTATCTTCTATTGAATTGCTCGCCACAATAAACAATTGACCTTGATTGGTACTTCTTTGCTCCATTTGATTGTGGGAATATTTTGAGTATTTTCTGACGGTCGATCGACTTTCCTTCTTAGATCACATACCTTGAATAACTTGTCCTTATCTAAGGAAGATACCCAAGTATCAATTCCGTTGACCAACTGCACCGTAGACAAATCACTATGAAGGTTGTTAAAATATGATGTTAGGCCAACTTCATGAGGACATGAGCTCCAATGACCTGCAAAAAAACCTTCAAAAAATCTATCAGCCACCATGCATTTTTTCCTAGTTTCAAGAGTATAAAGAGAGGATATTTGATTTTTAGCTTAGTCAATCCAATCCATTTATCTAGCCAGAAATGAGTATTGACACCAGATTTGATTTGCAGTTTGAATATGTCATCAGGTTCCATACCATGTTTATGTAAATCCTTTTTTACCTCCACAATGTTATTCCAAACCCCGTTAATCTTTCAATTAGCCAGATAACTATGAGGTTTGTCATTTAAATTGTGGATGCTTTTTGTGATTCTACCCCCACAATGTGTATCCTTCCATCTTCAAACGCCACCACCACTTAACAATTAGATCAATGTTTAATGACCTGATTGAACCCACACCTAGCCCCCAACTGATTTTGGAGCAATGACTGTATCCCATGATACCCAATGGATATTCTTTTTATCTTTGAATTCTTCCCATAAGAACCTTCTTCGTATCCGTTCAATTGTTTCTGTAACTGCTATTGGTGCCATGAATAGAGAAAAGAAATAAGTGGGTAAGTTTCCTAGCATCGAAGTGATTAGTGTCAATCGGCCACCGAACGATAGTGTTTTAGACTTCCAAGATGATAGTTCAACATGAAATTTGTCGATGATCGGTTTCCAGTTTTTTATAAGCTTCATATTCGCACCTTTTGGGACTCCGAGATACTTAAAGGGAAAGGGTCCCGCTTCACATCCAAGTATATTAGCCCAATTCAAGGTCTCGTTTACTGATGTTCCAATTCCAAACACTCTTGATTTGTAAAAGTTTACCTTTAATTCGGATGCAGCATGAAAGCACCTCAAGATACTAGCCAAGTTTTTTAGGTTAGATCTGTTGGATTATGTGTCTCAGCACATAATTATAATTAGTATAAACTTGAATTGATAGTAGCACAGTCCTTTTGGGTTGCCCTTAAACCTAGCAATGGACATGATAATTTTGGAGAGAGAGAATGATTTCTTATTTGATTAATAAATTGAAATAAATAATTTGTTAAAATATTATGGAAATAATCTATTAATTGGAAATAGTAATATTTAATTAACATTTAATCAAAAATTAATTGGAATTAATTTGGTGATTAGAATAATTAATTGAAAGTGCAAGGACTGAAGTGCAATTGTTCAATAGTTGAATAAGAGGCATTCTAGAAACATCCCAAAAATACCGACCAAAAATTTCCTTTTTAAAAACATTATTAAACCATAAATATCATCGTCATCATATAAAATCATAAACCGAGTATCTCAAAATACCGTAGTATCTGTCAACAAATCATAAAATCATAAAAAATATCAGAGTAAATCTCTCATGCTAGAAAAACTGTGGTGTGTGCCATGCGATATCCCGAGCCCTTCCCTTTGCTAGTTGAAGTACCTGAAACCAAACTAAAAACTGTAAGCACAAAGCTTAGTGAGTTCCCCCAATCTACCACATACCAAACACATAATCACATACTGGGTCTAGTCCACTGCTTCGGGCCCCGCCCGGCATCGGACCGAGGTACGGCATAACTTGGGCCCCGCCCCGCATCGGACCGAAGTCCGGTATACATATCATATCAATAAGCATAACATAAACATAAACATAAACATAACATGAAAGCTAACACCCCTTAGGCTTGCCCCGGCATCAGAACTAAATCTGGAACACATAATCAGACACATGCAAGAATCACAAAGACATCAAGCATTCTAACTGCATCGGGCCCCGCCCGACATCAGACCGGAGTCTGGAACATAAACCTACATCGGGCTAACCCCGATACATACAATCACATATAAACGGGCCGGCCTTGGTGACTTAGACTCGTTCCTACTGGAAGAGAACTCACCTCGCAAGATTGACTGCTGAAAACTTGAGCGAGGAATCCCTGTCTGCTGCTTCGACGACTCTCCGACTATTAATTCCATAATAACACTTAATCAGAATCTGCTAATCCCCTCTTAGGGTAAAATGACCATTTTACCCCTGGTCAAAGTCAAGGTCAACTCCTAGTCAACCCAACTTGTCGAGTTATCTCCTAACTCGGCGAGTTCCTGAATGCTTAAACCCGTGGTCAACTGAGTCAACTCGTCAAGTACCTTAACAGACTCGCCGAGTTCTTGCCGTCCTAACAATCGGGACAACCCGCTACGACTCGTCGAGTCCTTCCCTGGACTCGACGAGTTCCCCTGTCTGATTAAGCCATCTCAATGGATTAAGCTCCTACCATTCAGATATATGTTCCTTAGTTCGTTTGCTCACTGGAAAGGCCACTCTAAGGGTAAAGTTTCCAACTTTACCCGTTCATAACTCTTCTTAAAGGGTTTAGACAAAACCCTAATTCCTTTAGGACATGAATCTTGTCCAAAAAGCCTTAAAATCTCAAATCCACTCATGCAAACCTAGATCTAGGGTCTAGCCATCATATGATCACTTAAAGTCTCAAGCTTGCTTCCAGGCATGGCCCTTTTGGGCTAAAAAGGCCATAAATATTTCATTAGCACTTGCATGAGAACTCTAAGGGCATAAAGTTTGCACCTTTATGTCCTCATAGCCTCTCAAGGCACTAGATCTGGAAGGACAACTCATGGGTCAAACCTTACCCACAAGTTAGCAAATCTTGGACCAAAAACCTTCAAAAGAGGTCATAAATAGATTTAAGAAGAGAATGATCAAGTTTGAGGCTTTATTACCAGAAAATGTAGTGAATGAAGCGTAGCTCCTATATCTACTTCTTCCCCTTTGAACCTTCTATCTTCTTCTCCTTCCACAAGCTTCAAAATACACAACAACGCTAAAAAATGGCAAGAATAAGCTCCAAATCACCCAAGGTGGATTAGGGTTTCGATAATAGGGTTTGGAAGTGATGGAGGCTGGGGTGGAGGCCAGATATGATGCTTAAATAGGGTGCAAAGCCTGGATATTAGGGTTTCCCCCTGTTGGACCTACGCGCCGAGTCCAGGTTCGGACTCGTCGAGTA